CCCCCCCCCCCGCCCCACATCTTGTGACGCGCATTGATAAAATCCATTTTCTTTGCCTTTCCATGAGTGTGAGCGCGCGACTTTTTTTATTTTATGACTTTGATTAGATGCGATTGCTCTGCTTTTCTATGATTATGAAGCTGTGATTGTCTATGAGTTAGAATTTCTGATCTGTGTTTCTTAGAATTTTTCTAAGACGTCTGTGAGTAGGATTGCAAAGCTAGTTCTCACAACACGAAAGCATGTTGATCAGGTGGATGAACTGGCTCGATACCAATGTGATGGAGGTAAACCCCGACGTCGGCGCGTCGCAAGCGACCAGAGTGCTGCTCTGGACCATGGAGAGCAGACGGCCTAGGTACGACCTGACCACCTACGAATCGCTACTCAGCTTTGTCGTCGAATATGCGAGCAAGTACCTGGAAATAATTGAAGCACATGATCACCCGACTGAGCTCGCCTCTCGCCTGCAGAGCTCCAGTTGCGTCTACTTTGTGATGACCAGGTTGGTGCGGGCCGCTTTGCGCACGCATAGTACGGTGAACAAGCTGAGGAATTCGAGCTGGCGCGAATTCTTCTGGGGGCACGCAGTGCCAAAGCTGGTGGCGCAGGGGTACTTGCAGAAACAAGAGCAAGAGCTGTTTCTGTTTGCGACAACATCAATAGATCACAGTGAAGATGATGAGCAGGTAAAGGATGATCGCGAAGATCTTCCAAAGGCAGTAGATGCGGCTGATCTAGAAGAGCTTGGGGACGTGGCTGCAAGCAGCCGTGAAGATGATGAGTGCAGCGAGTCGTGGCTGTCTGGTGGTGTTGATGTTGTTGAGGAAGTTCTTGCCGACGTGGACGACCCGAAACAACCAAATGATGATCATCAAATGCTGCTCGACGACGAGTCAACGGCTTGTCGTGTGCGGGGGCCAGGAGCGGCGACAGCGGCTGAGGTCTCTGGTGGGACACGACTCGACGCAGTCGTGCCCGCGGCTGGAGGAGATGGTGCTGGAACTTGCGTTCTTCTAAAACAAAAACAGCGGGATAAAACTTCTAGTGCCGTAGAAGACTGCTCAGCAGCTCGAGCTAGCAGGCCGCTCTTCTTGCGCCAGCCACGGCCTGACGTTGTTGTGGCGGCTGCTGGTGCAGCTGGAGCGTCTTCCTCGAGGCAGCAGGTATCACATCATGATCATCCGAGAAGTCTCGCGATGTCCGCTGCAGCAAGTCCAAGTTCACAGCTATCACATGATCAAGATCATCCGAGAAGTCTCGCGATGTCCGCTGCAGCAAGTTCTTGCAAGACCGACCAATCACTAGACAAGCGGCTGGAGATAAGGAAAGAAAAAAGTCTGTCACAGTCACTAACTTGCAGGTTTTGCATTGCAAATTTTTTTAGCATCACAGCTTTTCCTTGTATTGCAGAAACACTAGGGAAATCCCTTATGAAGTTTGGCTGTGATGCATTTTTACCCATGACACTGACACACTATTTTGGATTGCAAAAATGCGCATGAGTGATCGTGACAAACTTTTTTTGTTTGATAGGAGAGACTCGATATCGAGCACGGGGTAAATCCTGACGTCGGCGCGTCTCAAGTGACCAGAGACTTGCTCTCAACCGTGAGCTATCAAATGTAAAAATGTCTGGGTCTGGAAGAGTCCATGTTTGTCATGCGTGTCTGGCATGACTCTCAAATCTGTCATGCACGTTACCCAAGAACGCCACTTTTCTGTCATGCAGAATGAAACGCAGTTTGTCATGCAGCATAGGCAACACCTAGAAGCTCAGAAACTTCTCATGCTGACGAGCCAGCACTTGTGGCCTCCTCATGATACGCCACCCAGCATCACAAGTTTCCAGACCCAGACACTTTTGCATTTGATATGAGCGTGACACGGCCCGACTGGGAAGAACAGCCCGATAATTATATCTACCCGAATTACGAAGAGCTGCTCAGCTTCGCCGTCGAATATGCGAAAGAATACTGGTGGAGAATGAAAGCACATAGAAACCCTGCGGCCGAGGGCGCCGTCGGGCTGCGGAGCCCCCTGGTCGTCTACATCGTGGTGAAACGTCTCGTGAACAAGGCTTGGGGCCCGCATTTCGCGAGGAGGCGTTGTACTAGAGCTGCCAGAATGAACTGCCAGCAGTCGATACGCGTGCAATTCTTGGCAGAATTTTTCTACGACCATGTGGTCCCAACGCTGACGGCGGAAGGATATTTTCCTCTGCGGAAAAATGAAGATGCTGCGCCGGCTGCTGGTGTTCCTGCAGCGTCGTCGTCGAGGAGGCAGCTATCGCATCCGAGTCCGGGGCTCGCTGAGCCAATAAGAAGAACGGGCAGAGAGCAATACCAAGACAAAAAATTGAAAAGTTACGATGCCTCGGAGCTGGGCCTAAACCCTGATGAAGACGTTGGCACTTTTCGCGCCTCAAGAGTTTTGCTCTCAACCGTGACACGGCAGAAAGGCAAGCCGAATTACATNAAACTTGTCATGCTGAGCCAGCACTTGTGGCCTCCTCATGATACGCCACCCAGCATCACAAGTTTCCAGACCCAGACACTTTTGCATTTGATATGAGCGTGACACGGCCCGACTGGGAAGAACAGCCCGATAATTATATCTACCCGAATTACGAAGAGCTGCTCAGCTTCGCCGTCGAATATGCGAAAGAATACTGGTGGAGAATGAAAGCACATAGAAACCCTGCGGCCGAGGGCGCCGTCGGGCTGCGGAGCCCCCTGGTCGTCTACATCGTGGTGAAACGTCTCGTGAACAAGGCTTGGGGCCCGCATTTCGCGAGGAGGCGTTGTACTAGAGCTGCCAGAATGAACTGCCAGCAGTCGATACGCGTGCAATTCTTGGCAGAATTTTTCTACGACCATGTGGTCCCAACGCTGACGGCGGAAGGATATTTTCCTCTGCGGAAAAATGAAGATGCTGCGCCGGCTGCTGGTGTTCCTGCAGCGTCGTCGTCGAGGAGGCAGCTATCGCATCCGAGTCCGGGGCTCGCTGAGCCAATAAGAAGAACGGGCAGAGAGCAATACCAAGACAAAAAATTGAAAAGTTACGATGCCTCGGAGCTGGGCCTAAACCCTGATGAAGACGTTGGCACTTTTCGCGCCTCAAGAGTTTTGCTCTCAACCGTGACACGGCAGAAAGGCAAGCCGAATTACATAAAGCTACTCAGCTTCGTCGTCGAACAGGCGAAAAAGTACCTGGAAGTGGTAATGGAAGCACATAAAAATCATGCGCCAGAGGTGGCCGCTAAGCTGCGGAGGCCCCGTAGCGTCTACTTCGCGATGAAACCGCTGGTAAGGAAAGCTTGGGGAAACGCCATGGCATCGCAAAAGGCAGTAAAGCAAGAAGGAATAGTGACGAACACGAAGTCGATCGGGAGTCGGACCTTCCGACAGGCGATACCAAGCGTGCAATCCTGGGGAGAGTTTTTCTACGGCCATGTACTCCCAAGGCTGACGGCAGAGGGATATGATTTGCAACACGCAGAAGATGAGGAGGTGGAGGGCACTCCGGATCCAGGTGATGTGGATGCTGATGCACTAGTTGGAGAAGCACGATAAGCAGCTTCTACAAGCTGTGAGGAGCACGCGTCGGCCGCTGAGAGTCATGTTGAGGAAGAGGAGGAGGGTCGTCGTGCACGTAGAGCTAGAAGACGAGGAGCGCGCGGGGGAGTCGATGATGATGCATGTCATGATCAAGATCATCAGAAGATGCTGGTCGCTACCAGCTGCGCGACATCAAGAAGCGAAACGCCGACCCTCTCAACGACGTCGGGATGGCGATGGGGATCTCCCCCATCAAGAACGACTGGCGACTCAGCGCAGACTGAGGGCGGTGGTCGTGTGCTGTCGGCTGGTGGCGCGGCTGGAGAGCAGGAAGCCAGATCGACGACTGAGAAGAACGCTGCGAACGGACACAGAGAAAGAGATGATCAGGAGGAGCACGGCGCAACCGGACAGGAGACCATCAACACCACGTACTACAAAGAGCGGCCTGCCGCGAATCATGTGGAGGAAGACAAAGACAGGGAAGATGCACCTAGTAGAGCAACACATAGAGAACTCGAGTTAGTGGTAGTGCGCGATGATCCAGGGCCTGAAGATGCTGCGCCGGCTGCTGGTGCTCCTGGAGCGTCGTCGTCGAGGAGGCAGCTATCGCATCCGAGTCCGGGGCTCGCTGAGCCAAGAAGAGAGGGCAGAGAGCGAAGCCAAGACATGACGTTGCTGCGTTACGATGCTTGGCTGGGCCTAAACCCTGATGAAGACGTTGGCACTTTTCGCGCCTCAAGAGTTTTGCTCTCAACCGTGACACGGCAGAAAGGCAAGCCGAATTACATAAAGCTACTCAGCTTCGTCGTCGAACAGGCGAAAAAGTACCTGGAAGTAATAAAGGAAGCACATAAAAATCATGCGCCTGAGGTCGCCGCTAAGCTGCGGAGGGCCTATAGCGTCCATCTCGCGTTGGGGCCGGTGGTAAGTGCTGCTTGGACTGGAGACGCAAACCGGAGGAGTACCGCTGGCAGAGCCTTGGAGACGCAAACTGGAGGAGTACTTGAGCAAAGGCAAACACGACCATCGAGGAGGATTGGGTGGAGAACGAACTTCCAACAGTCCACAGGCGTGCGATCCTGGGGAGCTTTTTTCTACGAGCATGCGGTCCCAGAGCTGAGGAGGGAAGGATATTATTTGCAGGAGACAGAACGGCCAGCCGCGCCAAAAATACACGCAGATGAAGCTGGTGAGGAGGTGGAGGGTGGTCTGGATCCAGATGTGCTGGTGGGTACTGATGTACTAGTTGCTGGAGGAGCCGGAGAGGAGCAGGAGACCATCAACACCCAGTCCACTGAGAGGACACGAAGAGCAGGGAGCAGAGAGAAACGCTTCGCGTCTGATCGAGCCAAACGGTTCGCGTCTGATCGAGCGCGGTATCAGAGTGCACAACTCCCCCTCCCCCTCATTTGTGTTGCATGAACGGCAATACAAGCGTCAGCAAGAATACAGGTTTTGCATGACAAAGTTGGACAGGAGTGTAGTGCTATTTGGGCTGCGAGAACTTGTCATGCTAACAGTGCCCAGAGGCAAGGTGTAAATTAGACATTTTGCATCACAAATGAGGGGGAGGGGGAGTTGTGCACTCTCATGATACGCGGCCGCAAAGTGGCACGGACGCGCGGCCGCGGCGGCACGATCAGCCGGGACCACTTTTGCAAACGCAACAGTACCAGTAGAGGTAGACGTGAAAAACACAGAAGTTAATGATCCCGACGCATTTATCTTTAAGTAAATAATTTTTACGTGCACAAGCACTTGAAGCAAGTTTATCTTTATTGTTGACTCTTTCAAGGGCAGCTCCGAGAAAATGAGAACATCACTGGTGTTTCTAACACTTTGAGGCCGCTTATGAAAGTTTGTGAACCGGAGAATCATGATTGTCGTGATCTTCCGTTCCAACTGCACGAGGCCGATTTTGAAAATGCTACTGAACTCGTCGCAGACCATTATTTTGTGTGTATGATTGGAACGACCGGAAACGAAATGCGAATCATGCAAACACAACAGTACCAGTAGAGGTAGACGTAAAAAACACAGAAGATAATCCCGGCGCATTTAATATCTTTAATTACGTCTACGTGCACAAGCACTTGAAGCAAGTTTATCTTTATTGTTTACTCTTTCGAGGGCAGCTCCGAGAAAATGAGAAAATCACTGGTGTTTCTAATACTTTGAGGCCGCTCATGAAAGTTTGTGAACCGGAGAATCATGATTGTCGTGATCTTCCGTTCCAACTGCACAAGGCCGATTTTGAAAACGCTACTGAAATCGCAGACCATTATTCTGTGTGTATGATTGGAACGACCGGAAACGAAATGTGAATCAATAGTTCGAAAGAACGCAAGCAAAAGGTCGATAGCTTGTGCTTGTTGACGAGCAAGGATCTTTCGAAGCACTGCCGTTTTAAACAACCGCTTTTTATCTGGAGGTAAAGAACCAGAGCCTCTACCTCCCAACTGATGATAAAAATCTACATACTAGTAAAGCGTGCAAGCCGCGGCACGCAGGGGCAAGCGCACCCTGAAGGCTAATGGGTATCGTGTGCTGGCTTATTTGAGCGTAGTTGACGATGAGAATTTTGTTCGCTTCTCTCTTTGTGTTGAAAATAAAGTGCGACATGGAATTCTTCCCTTGATCCGTCATGTCTCCGCAAAAAGGCCGCAAAGCGGACGCGAAGATCCTCACGCTTGTCGTCGTGATTGAAAGCAAGGTCGTTAACGTATCTGACACAGGCAGACACCACGATCAACGTTAGGAAGAAGTGCGTGCAGATATATCGCTTTTCAAAACCTCAACGCTCAAGTAATATTTGATGGGACAAAAAGAACAATTCAATCGCAAACCCCTTTTCGCAAAGTAAGTATTCCTATTTCCATTATTTTGCGTCCTCACAAGTATGTTCCGACTGAGATGATGAACAGAATATTTCAGAAAATGTAGAATTTCGTCCAGCACAGTACGCCGAAGAACTTTATTGGCACCACGATGTCCTCGAAAAAGAAAAACGCCGCTCAGATGAATGTTCGCACGCACCCCGCAAATGCGGCTTTCCTCGCGCACTTTGAGGAAAAGGGGGCCGTCAGTTACGACGCCAAGAGAAACGTCCGGGGTGTGGTGAAGAGCTTGAAAGCCTACCCTCTCGCCTTGGATACCAGCGTGCAAGCCCAGTGGCTGACGGGTGTGGGCAAGACCTTTTCTGCGGACTTCGAGCGGGTTCTGCACGATAAAAATAAAGCGACGGCCTCGTCCGCCAAGATGAACAATGGTGCCGCCGCAACTTCTACTTCCTCCGATGGTGCTGCGGAGAGCGTCAAGCAGCTGCGAAAGTGGCGAACTAAAGTGAAGGCGCGGCTCACAAAGGCGCTCAAGAACGACCCCGAGCTGCTGCTGGGTCGCGCGAACGTTCAGGACCTCCAGCGACGCGTGGAATCCGGGGAAATTCAGCCGAACACGACCGGAGCAGGGGGCTCTTCTAAGAAGCGAAATATTAAATCTACTGCGGTTCTTCGTCCTGGTCCCGACAGTCAGGTGTCCGGGGTCGTGCCCTCGGAGAATGAGGAGGATAATGGTACGGAGGACGAAGATATCAAATGTAAAAATGTCTGGGTCTGGAAGAATGCTAGTTTGTCATGCTTGTCTGGCATGACTCTTAAATCTGTCATGCACATTACCAAAGAGCCCCACTTTTCTGTCATGCAGAAACGTAGTTTGTCATGCAGAATAGGCAACACCTAGAAGCTCAGAAACTTGTCATGCTGAGCCAGCAATTGTGGCCTCCTCATGATACGCCACACAGCATCACAAGTTTCCAGCAGACCCAGACACTTTTACATTTGATAGAAGACTTTAACTCGGAAGAGGATGAGGCCGGAGATACCTCCTCGTCTTCCGACGATGGTGGAGGTTTCCTCGTCGCACCGCCGTTATTATCAAATGCAAAAATGTCTGGGTCTGAAAACTTGTGATGCTGGGTGGCGTACCATGATGAGGCCGCAAGTGCTGGCCCAGCATGACAAGTTTCTGCGCTTCTAGGTGTTGCCTATTCTGCATGACAAACTGCGTTCCTGCATGACAGAAAAGTGGAGCGCTTGGGTAACGTGCATGACAGATTCAAGAGTCACGCCAGACAAGCATGACATCAAACATCCATTCTTCCAGACCCAGACACTTTTGCATTTGATAGTTATTTGTTGATAAAGCAGTAGACCACGACGACGGCCTTAAAAATGTGGTCCAGCAAGAAGACGGTGTCGGTGTAGTTCCACTTGTTCCACCTCAACTCGATGACAGAAATCAGAACTACGTGGTGGGCCTTGCTGCAGCTGCCGCACGTGAGGAAGAGGACCTTCAAAGGGCCATCAAGCTATCACTCGCGGAAGAAGAGGAGCGGCGCATTGGCATTTCATCCCAACTGGTACAACAAACTGACCCGCACTATAATTTCCGTTCAACATCCGGGAGCTCAACGTCGAGTGTAGCTCTTGCTGCCCCGTCATCCTCCTCGCAGTTTTATGCGGCGGAACCACCGCCGTTGAAGCGAATGCGAGTTGAAAGAAACGGAAATGATGGACCGACCGCAGGAGCCCCACCAGCCGCACCTGCTTCTGGAAGCACTGCTAGCTTGGTCGAACGGCTTCTGGCTCCGGTCGTAGTAAAAGGCCCTTTACGCGGGGGAGCGGCCCCTTCGGGGACCTCGTTCGAGCCTTCTGGTGCGGGTCTGACGAACTCTGCGGCCGCGTCAGGAACAGGAACGAGCGTGAGCAAATTCAAAAGTGCGAATCATGCGAATAATGCCAACCATGTCGTTGATCATACCGATTTGCAGCCGCAGCGTTCTGCGTCCTCACAGTTCTCGCAGTTCAACTACAACACAACGGGCAATGTTCAGTCGTTCGACACGACTGCAAGAAATAGTACATCGAACTCGCAGTTTGCAATTGGATTCAAGAATACTGTAGCATCTAGTAGTTCCTCCTCATCTGGCTTCGCGTCGTCTTTCACCGGAGGTTTCGCAGGACCAGCAGCCTCTAGAAGTGGCATTCCCGCGTTTTTTGGTGGTGGTCCTGCATTTGGACAAAAGTCGCAATTCTCTCCGGCCGTGCAGCCAGTGGGCAGCACTGGTGGTGCTTTCTCCGCAGCGGCGGGATCTTCATTCGGGCAGGTAAATAACAACTTTCACAACTTCTCTCCAGCCGCGCCCGGAGCAAGCGGAGACGAGCAGATGATTCTCACTTCCCCCGTTCTGGAGCAGCACCAGCCACAACCTCCGACGTCGTCGTCTGGACCACAGGTGCAACTAGACGAGCCTGGTGGCCCAAAGAACACCGGTCGTGCTGTATTCGGCTTCGTGCATCAAGATGAACAGCAACAGCAACACAATATTAACGCGTCGCCGGCACTCAACAACGGGTTCATGAACAACGGGCAGATGCATAGTGGGAACAACTTTGGGCCGGGCTTCGGACAGCACCAGTCGAATGACCGCGGACCACAGGGCTTTCCGCAGACGAGCTACAACTTTGCACCACACGGCTTTCCGCCCCAGACATCAAGTTTTGGGCACCAGCGAGCGATACCTAGTACCAGTGGGGCGCCAACAACTTCCAGTGCAGTTCAGCAACAACAGCATCGGCAGCACGGAAGTGGAACATTAATAGGAGGATATCAAACTACGAATCCGACCTCTCATCCACAACTCCCAGGAGCGGAACTGTTCGTTCCAAAGCCACAGGTGGCACAACAGTTGGAGCGGCGTATGTACACAGAGGACCACGCAGCTGACCCTGCGTCATTTTCTAGTTTTCAGTCCGCCGATCGTGATAAAGCAGCAGGAGCACACGTGACCACGAGCCCTGATGGTACGCCCATGCTTCAATCACCCGCTGCTCAGCTTCCTCTAACGTCCATATCAACTACAAATATGTCTGGGTCTGGAGGTAGATGTACAAGGTCTGTCATGCTTCTGCTTGTCTGGCATGTGATGTTAACTGTGAGCTCTGTATTGCGAGGCCGGAATGAGCTCCTCTCGCCTGGTGTCATGCAAAAATGAAATTAGTTTCCCATGTGGGATACGCAACTCAGAACCACCACCACGGAAAAACTTGTCATGCTTGGCAGCGCGGGAGTAGCATTACAGTGTGCTCACCATTCCCTTCCTTGCATCACAAGTTTCCAGACCCAGAACACATATTTGCAATGCATAGTCCACGTCCACGACGGAATTGATTGCCCGTCTACGGGCCTCGCGACCACCACCACCAGGTACCGCATCCGCATCTTCCAATCAGAACGCGCTGACGTTGCAACCTATGAATGACACAACTGGCGCAGTAGCTGTTGCAGCCGGTTCGAAGATGCAGATTTCCGGCTTTTCGAGTACGACCGCCGCCACCGCACCAGCGGCACCTACCGCGAAGCAGGCTGGGTTTACGACCTGCTCAAACGGTTACAATCTCAAACGTTACAAGAGAATACTGGCAATCTTCTGTGATTCAAGAACGAAATGCATGATCTATCCTACGTACTCCCACAGGATTGCGCATGACAAGTTGTGCTGGAATCCAAAACCCTACTAGAATCTGGCGATATTTGTATTGCAGAAGGTGGATGACGCGTGCTGTGCGAGTCTGTCATGCTCGTGGTCATGCAATACAACATCCAGACTCTTCTATTGAAGCGCTTGAGATTGTAACACCTGAGCGCGTCATAGGGTTTTCCGCGACTTTTTCATCGGCCTTCTTTTCCTCCGCGACGGCCTCCGGTTCTACCTTTGGAGGCAAAAATCTTATTATAGCATCGGAGACGAGTGTGACCACAGGAGTTCTTGGAGTTGCAAGAACAGCAGCTGCCTCTAGCTCTACTACCACGTCGCAGTTTGCGGGCAGCAGCGGATTTGCTTTTGGTGCCAAGGTCGACAAGAGCTACATCTCGGCTCCACCACCTCCCTCGGGAACTACAACTAGCCGCAATTTTTCCCCAGCACATCTATCGTTGCAGGAGTCCATCGCCTCAGCAGGAGCCGCTGCCGCTGGGATATCCCACGAAAAAAGTGTATACAGTTTACACATTTGTAGTGAGTTCAACAACACAAATTTCTCTGCATGAGAGAGAAAACTTGTAATGCAGAAATCCTACGGCAAAACACCTCTGAAACGAGGCTCCTATGCATATCCGGCATGACAGAGCTTGTCTGTCTTGCTTGGCCTGCAACACAATGTGTAACTGTAACACTTTTTTGTTGCGATAGGGGACAACGCGCTTCTACTTTCGCGGGTGCCGGAAGCCAGCGAACTCGCACCAGACTCTAGTGCTGCTTTCGGACACCCGCGAGCAGCGCGCTTTCAAGAGCACATCTCTGAGCGACACGTCGGAGATGCGCGCTTTGCCGCTGGGAGACATGTGCTGGATCTGGCGAGACGACGAGATGAGCAATAAAGCGACGGGAAGCCCCCGCGGCGGCGGCGCGAGCGAAAGCAACGAGTTGCTCGCGGGCTTTCTGCTGGAGCGCAAGTCCGTTCCGGATTTGGATTCCAGTATCCGCGACGGGCGGTACAACGAACAGAAGCGGCGGTTTCTGAAAATGCCGCAGGACCTCGTTCGCCTCTTTTACCTCGTCGAATGCAGCAAAAGGTGCTTTTGGGAGATGAAGGCCGGCGGCGCGAAAAAGTTCGGTTTCGACCGTGGCTTGCCGCATTCGACCATCTGCGCGGCCCTGGTGCACACGCAGTTTATTTCCGGAATCCGGGTTTGTCGGACGCAAAATCCGGAGCACACCCACGCCCTACTTGAGAGCCTGACGACAAGCGTACAAAAACTCCAGGACCCCCGTGAGCAGCAAACAGGATCTTCATCTGCCGTAGCAATTAATCCCGTCGAGGCTCGCCACGTAGTTGGTACTGCGGTACCTAGTTCGTCTCCGAACAAAGAAAAAGATCATCATAAAATAACCGGCACCGAGGGCGGCGGGTACTACACCTACGAAGAGTTCGCGCGAACTGCGAAGAAGACCGCGGACCTGCAGACGCGGCAGATTTTTGGGCGAATGTTGCGCCACATCGACCAGTGCGGGGAGGAGGCGGTGGAGCAGCTGGTACTAGAATTCCGCTCGTGGCGCGACCTGATAAGGCGCTTCCCGCACAAAACCGACGCAGAATGGATCAAAGTTTTGAAAGAAAAAATGTTGGAAAAACAGCGGACAAAAGGGAAATTTGACCCGGCCAAGAAGCCACGCTCGGTGAACAAGAACGTGCTCAGTCGGATACGACTGTTTATTGAACAGTAACCCATGTGACGAGGTTCAGATACTCGCAATTCTAGACAGTAATCGATGTATCCCGTTGGTCCTCGAGCATGACCGTCATTCATGTACTAGGATATATACGACTCCCGCCCCTCGTGAAGAAATGTCGCCACTTGATATTCAAATTTCTCCAAAATCCCACGGAGTCCAGTCTTTCGTTCTTTTTTGTGTTTAAAAGTTAAAGTTTAGATGTGTTGCCCTTCCTCGTGCGTGCCTCGCCAGACTGATCTCTTTCCAAAGCCTGCTCCTGAAGACAGGCGCTACAACTACTCGGTCACATGATGGTGCAAAACAAAAGTAGCAGAGGATCTTCATCCCAAACGATGTCGATGTCTGAAACAACGAGCAGAATGTCCTTTGTTTCTACTGAACTTCACAACACGCCCGCATTTATTCGTACGGGCTTAATACAACTAGACTACAAATAGAGTAGACCAAAAGCAAAGGGTCGTATCTCTGTTTTCATCGTCATCAATCGTCCACCGAGGCGCCGGGGGTGCTTGCTCCCACGAAGAAATTATGTCGCGAAACTTTTATTCGGAACTTTTACTTAATATTTGAGCCACGAACTAAAACTAACATCATGACGCTCAGTCGTTGTACAACCAAGAGCCACAAACGGGGTCGTTCTGGTTCTGCTTCTGCCTTGCTCACATTCTTCCTCGCGTTCTTGCGGGGTGAGAATGGTCCGCTTTTCACCCAGGCCTGCACCTCCGTTGCGATCGGGAGAGACGCGACGGAACTTGGAAACACGATGGTGTCACACACGGTGGATTGCAGCACCTGTGACACGCGGGTGACGTGGGTGCCGCCCCGCCGGTACAAGGATGGAAAACGTCCTGTGCCGCTACAGTTGATGAGTTATCCGCGCATGGTCACGTCCGATCCCGCGGACGCGCCGATGTACTTTCCCAACCAGGCGGATCTCCGGGCGGACAGCACGAAGGTCACGAAAATCCTTGGGTACATCGAGGCCGACCCAGAAGCGACCACGTTTGGGTACTACGATGGAGCGTACGGATTGCTGAACGAAAAGGGGCTCGCCTTCGGCGAAAGCACCTGCGGCGCGAAACTCTTTACGGATTACGAGAGCGGGGCCCTGTTCGGGCTCAAGATTCTCACCCAAATCGCAATGGAGCGATGTGCGACAGCACGGTGTGCAATCCACACCATGGGGGACTTGGCGGTAAGTACTAGAAGTAGAAGGAGAAAGTCAGCAGAGATGCAATTTATAGTACACTTGTGTACTTATCAATCTGGTTGTGTTGTTTGAGTTGTGTCAACCCAACCTATTCGCGCTCGTACTATATGCATAAACGCATTGCATTTGCAATAAATACTAGGTCATGATGAAAGCTCGGCCTCGGGAGAAAAATCAAAATGAGGATGTGGAACGAAGAGCAACAAGCACTTTCTTGTTAGTCTACAACTAGACGAGTCAGAACTTCTACATGAATTCCCTCTCCCACCGTCAGGTGAAGCACGGTTTTTATGGCGAAGACCCGGGACCACCAGGCGCAGGCGAATCCTTGCAGATCGCTGACGGCAAAGAAGCGTGGATCTTCCACGTCCTGTCGAACGGAAAAAAATCGGCTGTCTGGGCGGCGCAGAGGGTGCCAGACGACCACTTCGCCGTATGTCCATTACAAATCTGTGTGTCTCGATATGGCGCTCTCAACTGTTACATTCTCAACTGTTACATGAATTTGTGCTGCAAGAATGGCAAAAGTGAAAGGGGTGACCTTGCGCGTCTTGCATGACAGATCTGGCACAGATTCTCAGCCTGTTGGGCCCTTCGAGAATTTGTCATGCGAAGCAGCTTGATCGTGTCGATTTTGATTGTGCTTTTGCATTGCAAATCATGTAACAGCTGAGAATGTAACGAACATTTGAGAACGCCATACTCGACATTCTCTGGTGGAATCGTGCCCCATTTTTCCGGGAGCTCGGCTCGCAGTAGGACCGCGAGTTGTTCATCTGCAACATCATCTCATTTCTAGTGAGCCTACTTCTGCATGTGCGCATGAACATGAAGATGCATTTGGATTCTATGGCGTCCACCTGCTATCTGTATTCAATGGATTCGCAAAGAACAATCGAAATTCTTGGTCTGCGGCGTTAGACTTAGTGTCGACGTCGTGAACGTAATCTTCGGCTGAGTAGTAGTAGTACACGACCAGAAAGTGTTTTGATGATGTTGAATGATCTGGTTCCTATAGGACTCATGTCGTGCTGCATGATGGCGGTTCTTGCTTCCAGACCGAGTTCTCCTCCGAGACACAAAAATGTTTTTTTTTTTGATGTGCTACCGTGGCGAACAATTTCATCATCCGCGACATCCAGACGTGTGTTTTCCCGTCGTCCTCGGGTTCTGCACAGACCAGCTCCTCCAAGCAGGACAACATTTTGTGCAGCGCGAACATCAAACAGGTGGCGATGGAGAACAGGCTGTGGACGCCGCTGCAGGAGGACGAAAACGCCCCGGCGCCCTTCGACTTTACCAGCACGTTCGGCGAGGACGTGCGGTCGTTCCACTACATTCCGGAACTCCCGCCCATCCCTTTGTACATCACCGGGCGCATCTGGCGGCTGTACAACCTGGTAAACCCGGGGTTGATGCGCGAGCTGCAGCTGCACGACCTGTATCAAGTGCAAGTATGTCTGGGTCTGGAAGAATAGGATTTGTGATGCTAACTCTCGATCATACAAAAAACTCTATTGCATGACCAGCAAAAGGTGCTCAGATTTGTGCCACCCGGATCGGGCATTTCTCATGCAGGATAGGCATGAGAAAGCCTTCGCGAGGGCTGTGATGCTAGAGAATGCATCACAAGCATCGTGGGTCATGTACAATTTGCATGACAAACACCCAAATCTTCCAGACCCAGCCATATTTGCATTTGATAACCTGCCCCCCACCGACAACACCCGCCTGCCGTTCTCGGTCCCGGTGTCGAGAAAGCTGATATGAGAGTACACAACTCTCCCTCTCCCTCACTTGTCATGCAAAACCCAAAATCCAGTAGTCTAGTGTAGGTGCCTTGTGGCATGCTTTGCATGACAAATTACGGAAGCCCAAACACTACTACATTCATTAGGTACATAAATTTGTCATGCATACACTCCACGTGTGCTGGTGTCTGTATTGCTGTTCATGCCATACAAATGAGGGGGAAAGGGCGTTGTGCACCCTCATAGCTGACAGAGCAGGCCGTGAAGGATCTCCACCGCGACCACTACGAAGGCACGCCACTGGACCTGCGCAAGGGCGTTGTCGCGGGGCCCTTCCAGAGCCCGAACCGGTTGGAGCGGGGGCACGCCGCGGTCGCGATGCACGTGCAATTCGCGCGCGCGATCTCCATACCCAGGACCACCTACGCGTGGATTGGGTCTTCGTTTGCAGCAGCCGAGCCAGAACTTAAGGAGGCCGGCAAGAACATCAAACATGATTTGACAAAAACCACTCGCGGGTGGTTCGCGCCGGATACCCCCGCCTCCAGTGTGTACCTGCCCCTGTTCGTCCCGGAAGAGAAAGACCTGCGCCGAACAACGGAGATGAAAATTAAAACATTGAACGACGAGGACGAAAAACAAGCACCCACGTCGACTTCTGTGAAGGTTTCCGCGGCGCTCGGTGCCTCACTCCAACGGGGGACGAGGTGGAAGGTGGACCGCAAGAGTGCGTGGTGGGCCTTCAATCTCGTTGCGAATCTAATGGAATGGAACTACGAGCACATGGAGAACGAAGATGTATAAAGAAGAAAATTTGTGCGCATAGTTTAGTGCGTTCCTTTTGAATTGAAATGAAGTACAATGACGAGGAGCCGATGCTGGCTTCTTGCATAGATGAGGCTACTGAGCATTGATTTCATCAGGCATTAATATCTCTTACCTGTACTCCTCTGGCGCCGCACCAGCAGAGGCATACTTAATGTTTACAAAGCAAAATGAATGTGAATGAACTTTGAGGTTATGCCTCGCGTGCGGTCTTGGGAACAGAAGATCGACACGTTTATACGCACGCATCCACAAGTCAGCAAGAACGAAGCGCTCACGATCGATGCGGCGCAGGCTGAGCTGCACGACAAGGTCGTAGCGGACTGGTGGGACCTCTATGCTCTGCGCAAAAGAATCGCACTCGTGGTGATTGCATCTATGCACGACAAATCTCCTGGCTAAGGTAATACAGCAGCATAACAAATTTCATTTGTAATGCTAAGCGATCAAATTTGTAGAGTAGTAAGTAGTCATGTAATGCAATGACTACTAGTTGTTGCGCAATGGTTTTGCAATGCATAACCTTGCGGACGAGCTGATGGTAAAGTACAACGACGGGTTATCCTGAGTAAAAATGTCCGCACCATGACCACATAGTCTGTCAACAAGATGGGAACTTTGCAAGACAAATCCAGAGGTTGTGGGAATCAAGCATGACAGGTTTTTCGCTGCATTGATTGTGCATGGCAACTCTGGGTGGGTGCTGGGCTGGACGTTTTTCCACAGGATGCGGATTCATCAACACCGAGGCAACGGGGCTCGGCAGCTTCCTCGGCTACCCAAGCGCCTACTTGGAAATGACGGGGGCGAACGACGTGCCAAATCCCAAGTACGTCCTGCCCGCGGCCTTCAACCCGGCGACCTACGAGGAGTTTGTGAAGATGTGGGAAGAGAAAGACTCATCTCGGTCGGATGTCGCTGCACGAAGATCATCATTTTCTCCCGGTGGAGCAGCTGCGAGAGCTAGTGCCGGTCCCGGTGCAGATCCTCTGCATGAGCATGCCTTAGCTGAAAATAGTAAAGAGACCACGCACATTACCTCCGCTGCTGTCAGCAATTTGGCGGCTTCGGCGGAGCACACTAGTACGAGGACCACCTTTGTCGACCAGCACGGCGTTTTTTTCCCGGCCTTTCTGGGCGCCGCGTTTGGCGCCATATGCACTCTCGTGTTTGTGAGTGTGCGGGCACCTCGGGTTGAAGTTGGAGGAACTGCGTACCATGCAATATGAGCGGCTTTTTCTACTCGTACTCTCGCGGCTGCAGCTCCCGGATGGAGGTGGAGGTGCAGCATCCTCGTCGGGCGATGTTAATTATGGAAACAAATCGAGAGTCAGCAACTGCAACCGCCTGTGCGCAGCTTCCGCCCCTGTCGCGCACAGTCATTTTTCTGTGCAGGTTTCGCCACTGCTAACATAGTTGTTGTGTAAAAAAGTAGTGCAAGATGAACAAAGTCAAAGTCAAGCTCTGTCTGATTCAATGACGTACGTTAACCTTCTTCACGCATAAAAAATGAAATGGAAATTCTTGTAAAGGCAGCTCCGTATTCAGCATCATCTCCTTGGTTTCTGGCACTGCAGATAATGGTACCAGTCGTCGTTTGTCGATACCACTACCGGGACGATATTGCGCTTCTTGCACCTGTTACAAGAACGGCAACGAACGGCTGAATGAGAATACGAAGTGACTCGAACGAAACTGATAAAGCTAATGCTCCAGAAGTCGAGAGTCAGAAGAGAGACTCACGAACTGTCGAGCGGAACCTTTCAACGGATTTCCCACAGAAGGACGCATGTGAGCTCAACATCAACGTCCAACATGATCATGAGGGACCACGACCACTAGCTCTAGTACTGATTGGACCTTCACGACAATCATGGCAACTACGGCATCTTCCTCTCGCTCTCAGCTTGTCTTCGACTCGCATGTCCACCTGCGTTGGGATGGACTTTCGTACTCCTGGATGCGTCATTTTCAACATCCTGACCAGCACAAGAATCCGCCGAAGGGAGCGATGCCGATGCGGATGCCGCCGTCACGAGCAGCGGCCACAGAGGGCACGAAAGGCGCAAGAACAGGCGGCAGCCGTGATCTCGCGGAATGGCAGGCGGCCGCACTATCAACCACGACATCTTCATCTTCAGCACCTGGCAGCAAATTAATATACCGGGTTTTCGGCGGATTGTTTATCGAAACGGGGGTCGATGCAGACCAGGGGGTGCGGGAAGCCGCTTGTGCCTTAGCGGAAACGAGCAACCCGCGCGAGGAACTGCTCGCAGAACTTCTCGATGCGCACAGGACGACGAGCCCTACAAGTAGTAATCCCGCGTTCTTGCCACCGCGTTTGCTTGGAGTGTGTGCCAGCATTCCGTGTCATTGCGGGGCGCATGCGGTGCAGAGGTTTTTCAAAGATCTATTGGTGGAAACTGAAAGGCTAAATACTACGAAAAATACTAACATCGTCGTCTCCGCCCGGTTGCCACTGCATGTGCCCGGTGCGCCGCACCTGCTGTCGCCGGATTTTCTCCACGGGCTGCGGGAACTGGGGAGCCGCGGGGTCCTTTGGGAATTTTGCGTTTACGGAGCGGCCGGCGTGCGAAAAGCCGTCGAGGTGTGTCGGCTGGTGCCCGACACGAAGTTTGTGCTGCAACACTGTGCCTACATCGGGGACTCCTACGCGATTTCGTCCTCTTCTTGTTCGTCCGCATCGGACATCGACACGCATCAGAGGGAAGAAAGAACGTACTTTGAAAATCGTCACATGGAAGGAACACCAGTAGGAAGCGGCAACAAGAACAAACAAGATCAAGATCATGCAGTCGACGCGTCAAACCCAGATGAGAAAGAAGACGCAGATGAGTTTCGTTCCGTTTGGCGTCCGCTGCAGCGTTGTGCGAATCTTGTTGCAGTGAAAATTTCCGGGCTGGAAGAGTGGCGGACGCCGGAAGAGAGCCCGCATCTGCAGTGGATCGACGCAATCATTCGTTTGTTCGGATACGATCGCGTCATGGTGGGCAGCAACTTTTTCTTGTGCGATCTAGTACCAGAAAACTTGTTCAACCTCCAGCATCCGCGACCCACCACGCGCTCGAACAACATCAAAATCGAAACCAACTACGCGTTTTGCTTCGACCACGTGAGTCTTAGCTTAGCCCGATTGGAAGCGGATCCTGAGGCGCGGGACAAGGTCTTCTACAAAAACGCGCTGCGGATCTATTTCCAAAAACAAGATAACAACAATTATACAAAGGAACATAGCGCATTTATTTCACAGAGAACTCAAGAGCGGCGCGATCCAGACGGTGAGCATCGGAAAATATTGTCAGAAATAGGCTCTTCTTTCTGCGAGTTGGCTCCATTTACTCGGTACTAGAGAACGGTGTTCTACTCTGGTGCAATCGTCATCGGAACAAATTAACCGCACTCAAGCGGTCGAGTGCGAGGCCAATACAAAAATGTCCTTGATGCCATCGGTTCACTTCTTGTGGTCGGTATATATGGAACGACGTCTCATGTTCATCTGCAAAGGCCATCACACTGACACTTCTACATTCTGATGAGCTGCAGAGTAGAGGTCGGTTCACATTTGTGCTTTTCATGGGCGAAGTGGAATAGCTTCCAGCTAGGTGTCACAAAGAGCTTCACTCTGATACTGATTGAAGAACACAATGAAGATTTGGACGTCATGTTTCATCCGATCAGGTCCTTCAACTTCATGATTTCCAGAACAGACATTGTCCCTCGACATTCAGTTTTTCCTTTTGACCTTTTGGACGTATATTATGGTTTTAGACCAGGCCCGTCCCCGTACCCGTAACGAAATAGAAATTTGGGTGTTGTAAAATAGCTCCATCGTTTTTCCGAGTGCTTGTGTCATAGAGGCAGTAAATTACTTTCATCTCTCCTGTACATTATCTCTGCTGAGCCGAGCTTATGTTATGCGTGTGCCTCCCATTTTGATTTCCCCATTGCAATTCTGATTCGTTATCTCTTCGAAGGCACTCCGTGCGAACTTTTCTGTTTTGTACAGTAAGACTAGCAAGAGCAAGATGGAGGGCTGGTAGCTGTTTCCTTGTCATCATGTCACCATCTCCCGGTCGTTTTTGAGGATTTCTAAGTGAATTGTCAAATAAAAACCAACAAGAATGCATAGAAATGCACAGCAATATTTCTGTGACATGAACATGAAAAAAAAAAGAATTCATGAGTATAACTCTTCCACGGCGTGGTATGCGCGCCCCCTTCTGATTTTAAAGTTTTTGAGTGTACAATAACGGAAACGGATCGATAAAGAATTTCCCCAAGTAAGTATGAAGCTGCTAACCTCGTCTTGCAGCCCCTTCACAATCACAAACTTGAGTCCTCCAGCAAGGGCGAAAAGGGGCAGGGGTTGGCTTCATCACAACAATTCGTGTTTTACGCATCTGTTTTTGGAAGGTTTTGCCACTGTCATGTGTGTGGTGTTTTTTTTCACGATATTTGGTGCAGCTTTGTCTACCTCCGTGCTATTCAAGGCGGCAGCTGTGGAGGCAGCTGGGGTGACGCCGGCACTTCTGCCACGAGGAGACAAGTTGGAAAAGTTACAAGACCTGCGATGGACCAGCGAAGCAGCGCTCCTCCCAGAGCAGGCCACACACTCGTCGAACCTATCAGCCCAGGAAAGGTCAGCAGTGGTGTTGACAATGAAAGCCCCCGAAGTACTAGATGAAGACCAACGCCAACCGTCTGCCTCTGCGGAAGTAGCGGGTACAACCACCGAATTTGATTTCGACGACGAGATGGCGCAGCAGGAATCAGGCGAAGAAGAAGATGAAATGAAACTCAAACTGTTCAGCGTCCAGCGCTTTTTGAAGGCCCGAAGCGGGCTGAGCAGCGGATCGTTGGCCTTCTATCTGATATTGTTTGTCCCCGCGGGGGTCTGCCTCTTTTGCTGCCGCATTTATTTCATGACGCGAGAAGCGAGTGCCATGATGACGACGCGCGGAAAGGACGGCTCTGTCGTGCGCCAAGACACGACGTTCGGCGGGCGTGTGGGCACCTTCTTTTGCTGCGCCAACTGTACGTCGATGTTGTCTTGCTGTTGTGGGAAGAACAACAAGCAGCAAGTTGCGCCGCACGACGCGGAATTCTACTACACTGAGGAAAGCCCCGTTTACAATGAGGAGGGACAGGGGCCATCGCCACGCGTCGCGGAGGTAGGCAAAAAAGGTAATAACCCGCGACGAGGCAACATGAAAAAAACCACTGTGGTCCACGGACCAGGAGGTCCTCCACCTCCAGCGGGACCACCGGGCGGGCCCACAATAAACCGCTCCCCGAGAGGACCACGAGCTTCACCGCGCGGCGGCGGGGCCGCGGCTACCAACACCCGATCTTCGCGGCAGGTGAATATACTTGGCCGGAACAACATGCAGGAACAGCGCTACGAGGGCCAGACGACGGACGAAGAGTTCGGCGTTGAGGCCTCGACCAGCAAGAAAGGCAGGACGCCCCCGGGGAGTCGTGTGGCGTCGAAGGAATCCGTGCAAAGCTACGCCCCGTCGATCGCCGCCGGTCCCGCGCCCCGCATCTCCGACATCATCGCGCAGAGCGACAAACTCCTGACGCCCCGGTTGACGCCGCGGACGGAAGCCTTCCCCTCGTTCACCACGGCCCCCATCTACGCGTCAACGACCTTTGTGGAACCGCGGAGCACACTACCCCATGGAAAATTAGTCTGAGACGAGGAGTCGTTTGTGTTTCTTTGTATAATAACATCAGTTTGAACGAGTGGATGCATGTTGTAGTTGATGCACATCCGAGATTGAAAATCAAAATTCTGGGCGTTACTGATTTGCATGTTGACACGAGATTACACAAAGACTAAGAGCGTGCCGTCATGGTGATTTTACATGGGATATGCGTACCAAATGAAGGGAAAACACTTGGCGAACCCCAGCGGGGGCGGGCACTCGAACGTGTCTAGCAGAACGTCATCCAAAAACAGGAGCTAAACTGGTGGAAAAAGTGCTGCATTGTGCGGGAAGGGGAAATGTAGTTACAATAATTACTATTCTGCATCTCCGATCTAGTAGAATACACTAAGTAGTGGCAGGCTCCTGTGTCATCATCTCCCCGTTCACCGATGCTTGTTGCGTGTGGAAGCTTATTGGGCACGTCGAACGAACAGTCACGAGTAGCAGTATTAGATACAGATAGACGAGCAAGCTTAAGCTGACGAGACACGACGAACAGCAATATACTAATGGTGAAATTAGTGATGAGAAAAGCGTTAGACACCCACTCTCATTGTGTGGATAAGGATTAGCACCTGCAACCGCTGTCTAGGTAAGTAGTCTACCCCAATTATAGAAATGAAAGACGAATACCATCTAACACAGGAGTTGGAGCAACGCTTACAACCATCCTGACCATTGTAAAAACAGGGTGTACACCTACACTTGATATCCGCCAACATTGACTATCACTTTGTGCTGTGTGTTCAATAGAATACTGCGAGCTGCTGTTCTATGAGCATGCCCATGGGCATGGCGTTGTCCACCGCGATGATCCTGCTAGGCACTTCGTTTTCGTTTTTCCTGCTTCGAAATATTTTTCAATCACAATGTCGTCAAACTCAAACTCAAATCTATGCATTCTACGCTGAGTCGGGCACACGCCGAATTTTCGCTCGAACAAGAGTCAAAACCTGTTCAGAAGACGTGCCGGGAAGGGGTGAGCCTGGCGGGATGGAAATTCAAATCGTGGGGGGGGGGAAGACCTGCGGGATTGTAGAAGTATTGCAGAAGAGCAAAGGCAAACCGTAGAAGTGAGAACACTCACAAACCTAAAGTTTACAGCTCAGAAAAGGACCAGCTTTCGTGTCGTTGTACATGGTGAGGCCAGCGAACGGGAACGCTGATGATCTAACCATGATAGCCTAGCAATTCTAATTTCAGAAGTCTTTTTTTCCGACCTGGACCTAGGACGGACAGAAAAAAATCGCAGCTGAATAAACTATATCAGGAAAGACGGACGCGTGGATAGGTGACAATCCGGAGCATGTTCGTTATGTCTTCCGGGATTGGGTCTGTGATCGGCGGTTGCCGTCGGCGGGAAATAAACAAGGCGGTGGCGGTACAGCCATCAGAAATAAAGGGTTTTTCGCGCGCCGGGTTGTACAGCAGGCAACGAATTTTGAGGAAGAGCACCTGCCGCCCCCTGGCGGCGTCCCGAACAACGTCGACGACGACGTACTGCCGCAGTCCCAGATGTTTTTCGACCGCTCGAGGCAAGGTGTGAGCTTTTTCCGGTACCTCCAGAAGTTGCGGGCGACGTCCCGGACCCGCGAGTGGCACATGAGCCCGTCGTTGCGCACGATATTTGGCACCTGCTAACGGTGGACTGGTCGATCAAGCGGATCCTGTTGCTGCACTTCTGCGTGGAACTCTTTCTGCTCCTCCTCACTGCACTTTGCCTGTTTGTTGTCTGTGCGCTCGACGATAGCCTCTCGTCCTCCGCCGATGAAGCCGAGAGCCTGGACGAAGACAGCAGCGAAATAAATTCCCAGCTTCCGGTCGCAGCTGCTGCTGTCGATGCAAAACGTGTTTTTGGACCAGATATCCACGGACAACCTCCGAGATTTCGATCGGTTTTCCCGGGTCGCGGACGCGCACCACCCTCACGGCGAAACCTGGCGGTACGCCCGGCTCAGCTTCGTGGAGGCGTGTGTGCTGTCGCTGCAGACCTACATCCACTGGGTGTTTCTCACGGTGTCCGCGGCGGTGATCGTGACGCGCGCGATGCGCCCGCAGGTGCAGGTGGTCTGGGCGCAGGACTGTGTGGTGGACGGAGACGAGCTGGTTATCCGCGCGAAGGTGGTCCGCGGGTCGGTGTCCCTCATGAACACCTCCTTCAAGTTGTGTTGCCTGCGCTACGGGCGGTGCGTCCCCCTGCAAACGGCCATGCAGGATAGCTATCCCGCCTGGAACAGCTACACGCCGATCAACATCCGACACACCATCGACCGCGACTCGCCCTTCCACCCGTCCAACGGCGATCCCCAGCACATCATCTGCGTGTGGATCTCCATAAACGGACAAGACGCCAGCGGCCTCCCCATCGCCTCCGACATGGAGTGCTGGAATTTTGACACCATCATGGCCCCCTCGGTGCAGCGGTTAAAATCGACGGAGCGCGACTTCGGCCTAAGGTTCGGCCGGATGTTTTGCGATTGCAAGTACAAGGACTGTCTGACGTTTCTGATGGACGACCCGACCAACCCGGTGACGAAAGATGGCTTGATCGTGGACATCAACCTGGATAACTTCTCGCGGATTGTCAAGTCCTCCGCCTCGAACAAGTTTTTAACGTTGCCCGACGCCGGCGGTGTCTGGCCGGACCAAGTACTAGGGACCGAGCCTGCCGCGAGAAGTGAGCCGGCAAACACGTCGTCGTCGGCGAACGCGGCGCCGCCTGCGCTACGTCTTAACGAAAATAACGACGAGCGAGCCCGGACCAGCGCTTCCGACTTAAGTAATATTTACGATTCGTATGTGCAGAGCGGCGCGGTGGACGAGCAGAACGGCGGACGCAGCAACACAGCGAATGTGAGCTCCTCGGACAATCGCGCTGCCTACGAGGCTGGTACTGTTCGCCCAGTTAGCTGACGGCTTTGTTTCGTAAAAATAAATGCTAAAAATTAAGAAGCAGGTCACGAGGACGCGCACACATCGATTCTGATTCACAGGAATCGCAGCGGAGCTGCAGTTTTTATTTGTACGATGATCGTGTACAACATCCATGTTTGTTGATAATGATTATTGTTGTTCTTGCGAATCATTCATGATATTACCTAAGGTAAGCACAACATTCATGTTATTATTCATTTTCATAGAAATAATTCAGAATGAGAATCTAATTATTGTCGAGATTCATCATTCAGGATTTTTCAAATCATCTCGATAATTCAGGATTTTTTTTTCCAATCGAAATCTGATTTGGATGCAAATCGATAAATGATTCAGATTCTGGGTCATTCTCATTCAATGATATATTTTTCGGAATGATTGTAATACAATCGAAGATAGAAAAATTTTTTTGTTGTATGTCCGGTAGTTAGGTGTAATCCTAAAAATCAAAATTTTTGAGATTCGAAAATTCATGATCAAATCATATGATATGTGTATATGTTGCCACCTCATATTCATAGAAAAAAAATCATTTGGATGACAATATATGAATCTAATTATCTCAGAAATTGACTCAGAATCTAATCCTCTCATTCTCATCCTATATATGAATATCTAATTAGATGATTTCATGAGATTGATCGATGATAATTTCTGAATGAGATAATTTCTGAGGATCATTCGATCATGGAAATATTATAGGATGGAGATTAAGATCTCAATATGGAAAAAAAAAAAGAAAATTTTTGAAAAAAAATCTTTTTGAAGAAATTATTTCTTGGAAGAAAAAAATCGGTTATATTTTCCTCATGATTTCAATCCTGAACCTGATATGGAAATCCAAAATTTCTTCCGATGCATATTATTTGCGATTTAATTCATCCATCATTCAGAATCAGAAGATTCCAATTCAATTCGGATTTAACACAGGAAAAAAAATATTTCGAATCATCTGATCCTATCGATTATTGATATGAGAATTTCCATAATATTCGATCTCTCGAAGGAATATCAATCGAAATGATGATATTTGATTTTTGTGTCGAAAAAAAATTATCTTTTTTCTTGAAATCACATGAATCATATGAGAGGAAAGACCAACTTCTAATTTCCAAACCATTCCACACACACATGCCCATCCTCAAGAAACAAACAAACAACAAATTGATCTGAATCAGATCAAATTTTGCAGTGTGTCATCAATATCTCAATCAAAAAATGCAAACATGGACTATCAGGATGCCATAAAGAAGAATGGATGACGGATGGATGACGATACCATCCTACCTTTCAATGAACTTTTTCAGATATAATTATGAGGCAAAAAGTGACTCGTTATTTTTCTTCTTCGTTTCGATTTTTCCATTGAGGTAAGCATAAGCCTTTACGAAGTCGAACATTCATAATAAATCAAGAGCGTCCTCATATCAATTTTCCAAAACGAAACAACTATCCAAATACAATACCTCTGCAACATGATGATGGATCGTCTAGCACGAGAAAATCACAGAATCAGAAATGAGTCGACAAATGGCTGCTAACTCGTCATCAAGAAATCAATAGTAGAAGTGGAAAATCAAACGAGCGGAGTCCTTGTGCAGAATCTTTTCTAACACCGATAAATCACTTGCAAACAAAGTTGTAAACAACTAGGTAAGGTTTTGTTAATTTTACGATGAAATTTTGGAATTTCTTACTCTTTTTATTTAGGATACTAAGATAATAAATTGCGACTTCATAATTTGGATGGATTTGGATTTGATCGCGTTGTTCATGCGAACCAATTCAAATTCGAGGTTTTTAAACAATAGTGTGTCAGTGTCTTTCGTCATAGCCATAGGTATTCGTATTTACAATTGATATTCATATTGCTATTGCTATGCGAAGTGTAATTGTAAAGGTTAATGGCATTGTCAAATCTAATAAATTCTAAAGCTGTACAGCTACATCGACGTCTAGAAGTAAAGACTTTTTTCGTTTCTGATGTGAAATCTTGTCACCGCGAAGAAAATTCGCGAATGCCACCGGCGCTGGTGATCTACTTCGGAGAGCCCAAAACGCAGATGATGCCCATGGCCACTAGCAAAAAGACGATCGCAAGCGCGCCGAACAAAGTCCCCAACTCCTCAAAAAAAAGGAACGATGATGAAGCAACAACGTAAGCGGCCTGGTCGGTCGTAGCAGTGGAAGGCTGCAGCATCCTCGAAGATGCTGTTGATGACGCGTCACCGTCAGTATTGCTGCAGCTGCTTTTCGTATCGAAGCTGCACACGACTCCTTGTTCCTCTTCGACTGACATCGTGGGGGACGCAGACGATGTGCTTGCTTCTCCGGCAGACGTATCTTCGTCCGGGCTACCCGAAGCTGCATCGTTCTTGTAGTTGTTTTTCATCGCAATGTCCTGCTTGTCCTCGACGGCGTTCACGTCTAGTTGTGAGCTAACAGCCGAGGTCGAAGGCGAGGCGGTGCGCTCTTCGGGTGTTGATGTGTTAGCCAATGGAAATCCACTTGCGTTCCTCATCCCATCGCCCGCTTCCGTGTTACCTTCCGGCCCGCTGCTCGTGCTCGTGGTCGGCGGGAATTCCTCCATGGGTTCTTTCCCAGTTTCGTTTACGTTTTCGGCAGATGATGACAAGGAAATTGATGTCGGTGATTTATTGGGCCCGGCATCAAGGACAAGGGTAGCGCCCGCGCATTTAGCCACTGGGATTTTATCCATCGGCTCGTCCGGCGCGATCGCGAAACAGACTTCCTCCATCATGGATTGAAACTCTGCGAGATTGCGAAAATTCTTCCCAGACACCGCACCAACCCGGTCGGGCTGAAACTTCTCGTCCACTTCGCTTTTGGACGGCGCCGGGGGGCTCACAAACGTGAAGCCGCCTGCTAGGAGGCCTTTCCGGAGCAGGTGCAGATCTTCGGCCAGGAACCGTAGAGGTTTTTCAGCGGCGTTCTTCAACAAAACCACCCTTCGACCGCCGCGAAGTTGTTCTAAAAGCCGCTTCCTGTCGGGCCACCCGTAGCACTCGATAAAACAACTCGTGTGCACCCGGACAGAGTCCACCTCGGCCTGCGATGAATTATTAAGCGTGATGTAGTCTGTCCCGCCCTCCGATGAGGGAGGGGCTGACTTGATGAAACCGAAGTGGTCGAGGATGTTGTTGCCGCAGCAGGGGCAGGCGTGGATGTTCAGCTCCGTACGGATTGCCTTCAGTTTGTGGGCGGGAATGTTGCTGCGGCGCAATGCCGGAATACACATGTCGTTGAGGACCCTCGCGCGCAACATGTGCTGTTCCGCTTCGTTCGCGATGCGTGGTCGCTCTGCGTCGTCGATCATTGCCGTGAGGTAGCAGTGGCAGTGAGACTTGCTCGCTGCCGCGTTGCCATGCGTCACATAGGTTTCGTATTCGGCAATCTTCTTCTGGCACAGAATGCACCCCGCGAGCCCGAAGTGCTCCAAATAGCTTGTGTACTTGTCCCGCGACAACGGCGGGCGGCAGGAGCCATTGTCAATGCGGCAGCGCAACTGATGAACCTCATCATTGGAAATCCTTTCGCGCGTCGACGCGCCGCGGTGGTCGTCGTTTTCTTGCACTAGCTCGGCGTAACAGTGGTCATGCACTACGAGGGTAGCGTCGTCCGTCTGTAGAAAAGTTTGCTCCCCGGAAACCTCAACTTTGCAGACGCCGCAAATCTTCACGTTGTACAGCTTGCGTCCGAGAAGCAGGGTATACGCGTCGAGTTCGGGAATGGAGCTGTGCGCGACTAAGCGCCGACGGATGTCATGGCGCTCCACACTCGAAAGCCCCTGCAGCAGGCTGGGTTGGTCGCGAGCCGCTCGGAGAAAGCAGGCATCGTGGCAATAAACGGCCGACTTCTTACTACCCGCCAGTTGTAGGTGGCCTGCTACGCGCGAGTCTCCATCGCGAATGACACGCTTGCACAATTGGCAGTCGATGATGTTGAGATCACGGCGGACAAGCGCTTCATGCGCGGCCGCGAGCTTCGGAAAGACGGCCCCATCGGCGACGCGCTGCTTCAGCGCCAGCTTTTCATGCTCGGAGATTTTGTGCGTGCCCAGCATCTTGCCGGCAGCAACCTCGCCCAAGTTGTGCGTCAGGGCGCAGAAGTCGTGCCAAATGAAGCCGTCTTCTGTACAAAAGGTCGACTCGGGTTCGTGAACACCCGTGGAGCACAACATGCACCCCGGGATGCCGAGCGACCGGACTGCGAGCGCAAAATCGGCATCGCTCAGCTTGGGCCTGCATTCCTCAGCGAGAATTCGCTTGGCGAGCAGATCTAAACTCGATTTCGTGAACGTCGCAGATGGAGGAACTCCTGCTGACGAGGAGGACACTTCTTGTCCGCGTGCGAGCTCCTTGACGGCACAGTGGTCATGAAAGGTAAAAAACCCGTCTGCGCAGACGACGACTGTGCTTCCATCCTCGATTGCGGAGTTACAGGCACGGCAACCGGTAAAGCGAAAGAGCTCGGCCGCATGCCGGAAGTGTGCGTTCGACAACCGCGGCACACTTTCTCCGAGGTTGATGCGGGAAGACAGCCTGTTCCGCTCCTCGGCGTCGTAATAGAGCTCCAGAAGTTGTTGTTGTACTGCTCCTGCGGAGTTGTTGTTCTCCTGCTTCCGGTGCTCCTCGATGAACGGGAAGGGCAGGCTACCGAGGTTCAGGGTTGACCGGAATTTCGCGCGCTGTCGCCAGAGTGCCTCGATGAGGCAGTGGTCATGGCAGTACCTGCAAGACGCATCATGAACGGGGTTTCCGAAGATGGAGCGTCGTGTGTGGCCGTAGGTGCTGCGGGTTTCTGCGGCCTCGATGGCATTACCACACCCGACGCACTGGACAATCCCCAAAACCTTTGTATTTTCGACGTTTTCGAAGATCTAAAAATAGTGAGTGATTCCGATTGGGTCTGGGTGTCGTTTCTTGAACAACCAACGAGCGAAAGAGGACACGAAGTCAGACGTTAGAGGACGAACCCAGCGGAAACAAACTCGGAGTTGCGAAGTCATTTGCTATTCTAGTACATACGACTGCTAGTAGAACAGCAACACGACATAGAAGCAAAAAATTAGTGGCTTGGCAAGTCGTGTAGTTCTAGTTTATGAAATTGAAAGCCGCACCCATGCTAGCGTGAAGATAGTACCTTCATCGCATTTGCTCTCGTTTCCTCAGTCATCGGGGGTACAGTGGTTCGCTTGCACACACGGTTCCGGAATGTTCGTGCAACGGATGCTGGAAAGTTGTGGCCCGGCAGAAGACATGGTATCAATCCCGTGCATGAAATTCCCTGCGCAGCGCACTTGTGGACATGACCGAGTACACATTCGTCATGAAACACATGGTTGAAGTCGCACTTAAGCCGCGACTCATCATCCACAATCTCACAAAAACACAGTGAGCAATCCACTGGATCTGTGACGATGGGATCTTCAACTTCCTTGCAGCTGCCCACCATTTCTCTTTGGATTATTTTTGTCCTCTATTGGCTCAATTTCCGTTTACCACTCCTGTTTCGAGAAGAAGACGAAGCTCCGAGCTTTGGCAAAGGCATATCGACTTGAATGTGAATCTTGAATCGTCCTTACTTGCTTTAACAAAAAACTTATTAAACTTCTACTTCAGTAGAAGCCAATCCGTATTTTTGCCTAAAACTACGAAGGAGGTAATTGCATCAACATGAAATGAACATGCGCATGCGAACAAGCCGCTGCTCGAGCGAGGTCGATAAAGAAGGAACCACAACGACTGGTAGAAGAAGAGTTTACGAATAGACGACGAATACGAATTGCAAAATAAAGCGCATGCACTTCCGATATTGAGGACGACATGAAGATCGCGAGGATGGCGATCCCGACACGATTCTGTTGATTCGAATCTGAAGCGTCGACATCAAATTCAAATGGAATCCCATTTACAATACATTACGTCGATCTCAAACCCGACGACACGAGAGATGATCCGAAATACGCCGGATTTGCCAATCACGATGAATTAAGTACGTTAACGTTTCTCTCCGTGCTTGAGCGATGTTGATCCAGAAAAACAAAGTTAAGTCTCTGTTAGCATCACGTTTGTTCCTCCATCTTCCAGCTTGGCGATGTCTTCTTTTTGGTGTCCTTAATCCTGCGTGTCAGTTTCGGGTCATCTCGATCTCGCTTCAAAGGAAAATGATTTATTTGTGCGACCACATTCGGTGCCAGCGGGTCGTTGGGATAGAGTCGTCACATCTTCTGGCCAAGGAATCGGAGGAGTACGGAAAATGAAATAGCCAGAAGAGCAAACGATCTGCCGCTCGTGGCCTTGAAGATGCAGATGAAGCGCGATATCTAATTTGGATTTTCTGCAACTCTTACTCTTACTTTTTTCTGGGAAGTTTCCTTGTTTTAGTTACCAAATTATGTTAATGGTTGAGGAATGTGTCCTTATTGTGGAATATCGAGGACGTTCGCAACACCGATTGTCGAGACTTTTGATAAGACAGATAGCAAGTGCAAGATAGCTGACAACATTGATACAAAAAACAACGCGTGCGCGTGCGCTTTTTCAGACTTCAGCGAATAAATCAAAATACAAGTAGGTGAGTAAGAGTAGGTGAAATTCAAATTTGTACCGGTTAGAAGATAAAGACTTCGTTCGTCTCTCTTGTGTAGCTAACGACTTCAATTTCTGTGTCACTACTTATCTTCGTGTGAATTCAATGTCATACGTGATCGATGGTGTCACGTTATCTGCTGGTGCTGATTCACTGACTAAGTAAGTAAGTATCAGTATTTCCTCTCTTGTTTCTTCTCGCAGTTGTGAGCTTTTGCGGCTTCGACGAAATCGTCGAAGGTGTCGAATTGCGCGTCGTCTCGCAAGTGCGGTTTGATGTGATCGTCGAAGAAACTACGGCGAACCGTTAGCGTTACTGCATCGTCGCGCTTACCATTGTTCTGCACCTCGACGACAGCCACGGTATTTTCGGTGTCCTGCTCAGCGAAGTCGCCGGGCGCGACTTCTACTTCACCGCGGCGGGGAGACAACATGGCAGCGTCTTCTTGTTTTGCTGACAATAGAAGTTTTCGCTTGGCGTACTCCGCTCTGGCCTGCTCTTGTTCGAGCATCATGTCTTCCTCGAGCGTTTCCGTTGTGAAAAAGCGCCAAACATGCACCTCCTTGCGTTCCTGCCCTAGCCGTCGGCACCTGCCGATCGCCTGCGACATCTGCATCTCCAGTCGCTTGTATGTTGCGCACGAAAACGGATGCACAAAAATGATGTGGTTCGCAGCAGTCAAATTTGCACCTGTTGGAGTTGTTCGTTTTTTCCACAATGATGACCACGATCTTCTCGAACTACACGAGCAAGATCTTTATTCTGTTTTTGGCAGGTCATTGATCTTTTGGTTGCGTAGATGCATCAGAAATCGAATTTGAAGGTGAGTAAACCAACGAACCCCAAGAACCCGCGGCCAAACAAAACAAAACAAGACCAATAGATACCAGCCGACATTTTCTGCATGCTGAGGAGCAGGATGTAGGTAGATTGAAAGGTGCGCTGCCTCGTATTCACCTCCAGCACGTCCGAGTTTCCGGTCTGGAAGGCTTCTAACGCCGCGGATTGCTCTGCCGGGCCCCCCTCGCAGTGTATGAAGGCGAAACCCAAGCTCGAAAGAGCATTGGCCACGATCTCTAGCAGCGACTCGCTCTGGCAGAACACGATCACCTTGCCATTGCTGTCCTGCGTGCGGATCTGTCGGAGCAGGAAGCAAATCTTCTGGATTTTGCTGCCGAAGGTGCCGTACTTTTGCAGGTGGATTGCCCGCTCGTCTTTGGCGGAGGGCTTGCAGTCGAGTGACAGCTTGGGGAACTGTTTGCGAACATGCCCATACATGTCTGCTTCCTCGACCACCTCCTCACACTGCTTGATGGACGTGTAGATGCGACCTTTTTTTTGTTTAAAAAATGAACGCTGAAGCACAAGGAGGAACCGTGCAGCGACGGAACAAAGCGGTGAAATAAATGAATCGTCACACAATTTTGATAACCACCGAAGGCGTGGATACCGATTATGTACTTTCGGAATCGCTGCGCACGACACGGCAGCACGCCTTCGGATTCAGGGTCAAGGTCATAGTGAAACAAGAGGCGTATATAAACAACAGCAATACACTTACACTGACGAATCTATGGACAAAAAGACGAGAGAAGTAGTGCATTATGTTTTCCTGATCATGTACCTGTATTCAGATCCACGTAGACGCAGTTTTTTCCAGCAGAATTCGGGAGTGGCAAGGAGTCCTCGTATCTGTCAAATTCTTCATAAACATCGCCCCATTCTGCTTTTCGGTCGGCGCGATAGGAGGGGTGGTAGGACGGGTTTTCTTTGTGATTCTTCAATATCACGGACGGATACCACGGAAGCGCGGACGGCGACGCGCCGGCGAGCATCCACCAGATCCGATTGGGAGACGCGTTTAGGTGTTCCTTGTCGTGGTGCACGTTTATCTGTCGCTGCAGGTCAGGAGCTCGCTCGGTGTTCCACCGCATCACCCCAGTCGAATTGAAGTGGGTTTTGGAACCAACTCTCAATGATTTGGCGTTGTAGTAATTTTCGCCCGCGTATGTTGAGTGTGGTCCTTCTGTCGCGGCCCAGATTGACTTTATTTCTGTTGTGTCTGCATCAAAGCGGACCAGGGCTGTTGAAGGGAGCGCAAGAAACCCGGAATCCGGGAGCTTTACGGACAGATTTAATTCGGCCACTGCTTTCGCGCGGTCAAGAAGTCCCTTGTCCGCTTCGTTGGGATCGCTCTTTGCCAGCCACAGGGCCTTCTGGAGGTCCTCGCGAAACTCGATTGCGCATTCCTGCAACTTCTTTCTTCCTGCCAGGCACTCTGCGCTTGTCCAATTCTGCTTTTCCTGGTAGGATACCCACTTTTCTTGTCCGTACTGGTCGTGGAAGTAGCTGCCGAGACCGAATGCACCTCGTCCATATATCTGGAGGTCCTGCGGCTGTTGCCGATCCAACCAATAGCCGTTGATTCGCCGCGCCTTTCCATCAGTACCAGTGTCGAACTATTTTCCAGACGCCGCCGTTTTTCTCGAGTTTCCGCTCAAAGGCGGTTAGCATCCAATCCGTGTGCACGAGCTGCTGCATCGCAATCACGAGGCCCGATTGCTTTCCCTTCCAGGGAAGCTCAGTGCCGCCGCGGAGTCCGAACCGCAAGAGCGCCTGTTGCGTTTCCTCGTCCTTGATTTTCTTCTGCAGCTCCGTGTTTTTCTTGATGGGAACAATACGCTTGGCCTCGTCCTTGTCTTGATCCTGGTTTAAGCGCATGTCGATGGGGGTGAGGTCGTCCGCCAAAAAATTGTCGGCCTCTTCGCCGTCAAATTTGACACGAACCGCGCGCGACGTGCCTCGCTTCTTCATTTCGCCTTCTTGCTGTTTGCGCTTATTTGCAGCCGTTCCTCCTTTAGAAGCTGTCGTACCCAGAAGGTTGTGGTCGCCGTCTTGTTCTTCATCTTCGAGGGTCGGCAGAAGAGTTTCCTTCTTTTCTTGTCTGATTTTTTCGGCGATTTTCTTACTGGAGCCACTCGTAAACTTGTTGTTGTCACCGGAGGATGAACCACCATGATCCGCCTCGAGTTTGCGCTTTTTTTCGGCCGGGGCAGAGGACAGCAGATCCGACTGCATTTTGCGGCGCTCTTCTGCGGCAGCTCGGGCGTCCTCTTGGGCCTGTTCCAGCTTCCCGGCCAATATGCACATTTCGCTTTTCACCGTTTTCTGACGACACGTGGGGCAGTCGAACACGGACCCAAAGTGGCTCATGCAGTCGACGCACATCGTGTGCGAGCACTTGGAAATTGCCAACTGATTCAGCGGAAAGTCCTCCTCGAGACAAATTGTGCACGCGCGGGCCTGCGCGATCTCGTCGTCGCCACCCTCTCCCCCGCGGTCACCTTCATGCTCGTTCAGTGCCGCATCATCACCCCGGTCGATTTTTTGCTGCCAGTTTTTTCCCAAGAAACTCTCCACCTGGCGGCACCAAAACCTGAAGGGGCCGTACGCAATCGGCATCTCGGTGAGCGACTGCTCCGCCTCCTTCAGGCAACGGGCCCACCAGGCTCCAACGTAGGACAGCATTCGTTTCGACGGATCGGGAATGAAGTCCCTGTGGTACTTGGGGAAGCGCGCGTAGAAAGGGTGCTGCGGGATCGGGGGTACCGGGAGTTGGTACTCTTCGTGAGCAATTTTTTCATCCGCCTCTTTAAAATCACCTTGAGCAGCGGACTTTTGCACGACCGGGTGCAGGACGGTTTCCACGTCAATGTGACCCGACCAGGAGAACTTCTTCCTGATCTCCCACCGTTTGAACACGATCTCGCACGCGCTTCCGTCGGTTTGAGTCAGGGAGACTTTGTACTGTTGCTGGTAGAACGTCTTGACGCTCTTCTTCTTCTTCTTCTTTTTCTTTCTTTGCTGCGATAATTCAGCCGACTCCGACTCGTCGACATCAAGCAGGCGCTCGCTTTCGGATTCGTCAACTACTTCCCGCACCACCGGATGCAGTGTTCGTTCCTTCACCTCGCCGCAGGTGCCCATCAAAATGCGGCGGTTGGCAGGCGTTTTGCGCGTGTTTGGGAAATAGATGTTCCCGGACACAAGCACCGTGCTCCCGACCTCGAACTCCCAGTCGCACTTTTTTGGATCGGGGTCGTTGGTGGGCTGCAACCACTCATCGTCCTCTTGGTCATCGTCCCAATCAAATTCCTCGTCCTCCAGCTTTAGACCGCCGCCCACCAAGACATCCGTCTTCGGGTTTGGAACGCCGGGCATGCGGAAGTTAAAGCACCGCGCAAACGCCTTCTCCTGCCAACTGCGGGGAAACTCGAAAGCGATCTTCCGCTTCGGCTTCGTTTTTCCAGTAGTATCAACATCGGCGACGCCTTTGAACACGGGCTTCAAGCGGTCCGCGTACAGGATCTCGATGAGCTTTTGGGCACTCGCGCTCCCCAACGTACCAGCATGCGCAAGAATTTCGGCTTTCGCCGCCTTCAAATCGTCTGCCGCTCCGTCTTTAGACAATGCGTCGAGCCGAGTCAGAAAGTTCGCGTGTACGCACGCACAGGTCGCTTCCGTGGTCCTCGTGTTTGATGTGTCTGAGGATATCAGCTGGATTTGCTTGTTTGTGCGTTTGCTCACCTCTGCACTGAGAAGTCGGAAAGTGGTCAGAGGGCCGCATTTGTTAGTCTTGGCGGCCTTCTTGTTTTTTCCGGAGACGGCAGGAGCTGCATCTTCTTCGCTGCGCTCGCTGAGCCGGGTGCCAACTTTCGCGACATCGGTACGCACTTCAATTTCGGAGGTGGGGGTGGCCGCGTTCCGCGAAGATGATGAACTAGTCGTGATTTTTTGCAGCCCGTAAAAATCTAAAACCTCACGGACCTGGCCGTGCTTGTCTTTCGCGCTGGGCCCGACGCCAAGACCCAGCAACCGCCGCAGCAGTTCTAGCTCGATGAGGAGCATCTTCACCTTGTGCACGTGGTCGCGCCAGCCATTTCGTTTCGCCTCGGTCACGCGCTTGGTCTCATCGCACGCGCTGAGCCCGCGTGAGTCCCGCGACGCCGAGAAGTGGGAACAGAGATGGAGCAACTTGTCCCGCATCCACAGCTCCGTTTGGGGCAGCGGTAGGGCACCGAAGACAAACTTGGTCCCAACGGTGCCGCCTCGCTGCTGGTACTTCGTCAGCAGGTCGCGCGCTTCGTTCCAGTAGAACATTTTTTCCAAGCGCGTGTGCCGGACCGGCACCACGTGATTCACGAGCGTGATGTTTTCTGCAGCCTCGCCGATATTCTGCCGCACAAACGTGTCCAGGAAGCGCTGCGCGTTGTCCCGCAAAATCGCGGACCGGTCCCACGCGTGCGTCTGCGAAACGGCCTCGAGACGTTGTTTTTCGAAGAGCTCTGGGACGGGCAGGTAGATCGTCACGAGCTCGAAGTCATCGTCCACGTTGCGTTTTTTGCGATCATTTTTGCGAGAACCTGAGCTGGCACCTTGGTTCATCCGACGCATGTCAACATGGTCGTGATCATCCTCTTCCTCGCCATCAAGATCTTCAGCAAGTTCTGCTGCAGTCTGGTCATTCTCATTGTACTTGTCTACCTGCTCGATAAAACTACCCAAAATTCCATCTGCACTCGAGGAGTTTTTCTCGTCGGACCATGATCCACCAACCTGTCCTCGCTTTTTCACTGCCACTTGCACCGGTGCAAACAGCTCGGGGCCGTTGTTCGTTTCGCCACACCGCACGCAGGTGAAAGCGTACTTCGTCGGCGGGTCGGCTGCCACGTCCGGGTCCTCGACGATATCGAGGTCTTCAACGACGTCCTCGGGCGAGCTGTTTGTGGCCGCTGGGGTGAAGGAACTCAGCGAAGACGCCGTATTATCGCAATTGTCAAAGCCACAAAAGTTGCAAAACTTCTTCCGACTGTCCAAGAGCGTGAAATACTCGGCGCATTTTTCCGGCGCTTTGAAGTCCTGCTGCTGTCGCCGATCAAGTGCCCGATAGGCTTGCGCGGTTTCCTTGTGGTTCGGAATGGACCAACAGGTCGAAAAGGTCTTGCGTAGTTTAACATTTCCGCCGGCCGCGCCGTCACACAATCCTCCACCACGACCTCCATACACTTTGTCATCGAGGTCAGCGGAGTTTTCGTCGTCGGCAGCATCGTCGAGGATGCTGAGATCGGCAGCGAAGAACGGAGCAATCCCGTTATTCTCATCCAAGTAGTCCGCTCGGTTGTCCTCCATGTCCCGGGTGACACCGATGTCGGGAACAGCGGCGAGAGTCATTTTCTCTGCAGCCATTTTGTCATCTCCTGACGCTTCGTTGCTGTCGGTCGTGTCGAGAGGCAAAGCGGAGGACGACGAGGAAGAAGGAGCACCAGGTTGTGCCATAATAGAACCATGCAGTGCGCCGGCCAGCTGGCCTACGGAGGAACTTTTGATTTGTCGTCGCTCCACCTTGTACCGAAGCAAATTCGAGCCGTGACTGCGAAAGTTGGATTTCGCAGCGTCGCGGCGCTCATCGTCAAAGTACTGGTTGCGGCCGTCGTTCTCAGCGCGCTGGTTGTGCACTTCCTTCAAAAACTCCCGCTCATGTTTTGGCTGCGGCACCAAGTCAATGCAAAAAGCCGAGGCGAGAAAGGCGACGTCGTCAATGGTATCGGTGCGGGGCGTTCCGGTCAGCCCCCAGCGACAGGCTCCCTTGACTGCCGATAACACGCGACCTTCTTGCCAGCTAAACTCCTGCGCCTCGTGAAATTCGTCGATAAGCACGCGGCGAAAGAAGAACTGCTCGAACAAGAGGTTATCTTCGTTTCGCTTCTCAAATTTCACGCTCCCATCCGCCGCGTTGATGAAGTTGGCTCGTGTGTACTCGCGAATGCCGTGCGCAATCTGTTTGGACGAATTCATCTTTTTCGCCACGGCAATCCCTCGTTGGTGGTACTGTTTGCTGGCCACAACGCGGATGTTGCAGATGATTATGTCCTGA